GTTTGTTAAATACGACTGAAGTCAACCATCATATAACGTTATCAAATATAACAACGCATTATACATTATCAGAATAACATAACATGACACTATACAGTATAACAAATTACAGTGTAACGCAACCTAGTACAAAAGAAAACATGATATAACAGAAGACCCGACGAGATGATATTAGATAAGGCAGTTTAAGATCATATAAGGTGAGACAAGATAAAGATACAGATAGTACAAGTAACACGAGACATAGAAACATTCTGCTACATAACATAGCAAAAAAAGTATAGTATAATGCAGTGAACATTATGTCATATAGTATCATAGCACAATGCAAAATAAAATATATAATGAAATAATAGAATAAAAAGAGTATAATACAATATGATATAATATAATGTGATAAAACAGAATAGAATGGAAGCATGACGAAATAAAATACAAAATACATAATATTTAGAATATGTAAACTGTAAACCTTCATGTAACTATTTACCGATGGGTGGATGGATGAATGGATGGGTGGACCGATAGACCGATGACAGATAGATCGATCGAGAGACCGACAGATCGTTGGTGACGTAAAGTTCGCTGAACAGACAGTCTCATCCCGGGCCGCACCGGGTCGGGTTTGGCACTGCGCATGTATGACATATGCACCACGCGTACATTCAGAGAGAGAGAGAGCGAGAGAGAGAGAGAGAGACAGAGAGACACATGTGTTCGCGAACAGATGCCGCGCGAATAAATGTGGCTTTCTTCGGTCACCGCCACCACTGTGCAGGTCTCCCTTAGGAAGGTCGGTAAAACGGCAGAACCTTGTAAACCCCTCACGAGACTCCAAAAAGGCCTCACTAAGGGCTACTTTTTTACAGGATCCCTACACCTGCTTGTACGTAAGCAAAGGAGTGTGAGAGTCTCTGGGTTTTGCTGTACAGATACGACCTATGTATGAATTTTTGAACGAAGACAGTGGCCCGCCGGCAAAGCCTTGAGATTTGCGGTCTGGGTGCCTCTGCAGGGAGCCATGCATCAGAGTCCTTTGCAAGGTGCCTCCGCGAGTCTTGACGGCGCCTGTCTCTCGGCATCAGCCTACGACTGACACCCATGACATACCGTCGCTGTCACTTCTGCTTCGCAGCTGTGTAACGGAAACCTGGCAAACACTCAGAAGTTGATCCGGCACGGCTTCCTTTGAAAAACTGTTGATAAAGGGAAGGATCTCGTCCAAACTTCGTGCAACCTCAGCTTTGACGAGGTTGATGAACTGAGTGTACAGCATCTGCAGCAGCAGCTACAAAACGGGATGGACTTTGCATGGAGGATCGTACAGGACAAGTGTCCAACAGCTTAGACCGGTGTGCCAGAAGCATGAGGAAGGTTACAATGACCTCGATTCAGCTGCCACACTCTTCGGGGAGAATGTATGAGCACAGCAGCACAGCAGCTGAGATGCACGCAAATCCTGCCAGTCCTTCCTGTGAGGTCACGCGCATGATGCCGCTCATGGAAAGCACTTCTGCAAAGCACCCTGAGCCCTAAAGTCCTTCTGAAGGAAAGGCACGAGGTCTTGCAAAACATCGAGAGGGAGCCACTTGCCAAACACCGACAGCCATGCACTTGGAATCACCATGCCCAGGTCCTCGGCGCTGTCAACGAGCGTAGTATGTAATGCAGATATATATATATATACACACATATATATATACATATATATATACATACATACATATATATATATACACATATATATACATATATATATATAGCTACATATATATATATATGTATACATATTTATATATGTAAATATGTCGAACAGTCTGGGCATAATCGTAGTTCATGGGCATGTGACGGGACTGCTACAAAGAACGCTATTTGAGGAACCCGAATCTGGGCTGTCGCTGCCACTGCAGCGAGAGATCATACATTGATATGATGGTGTGTGTTTCTTGTGCTCGTTAACAATGCCATTCTAGCCGCATCCTCTCGTTCGTGCTTTACCATCTCCCAAACTCCACAGCATATCGGCGCAAACTGATTTTGTTGACACGTTTAGGGAACGAACTGACTAACATGACTAGCACTGGAACCCTGCCTCTCCTACCCACTCACCCACCCACCCATCCACTAACCCATCCACCCCCCATGCATGCAGGCGCTTGCACGCACACACGCATACAAAGAAACTGAGTAGGAATTGGACAGACAGGTTGAGGAAAGGGCAAGCACCGGTCACAGCCCCTTTAAGCACTAGTGATAAAGCAGCACGCAAGTGAATCGCAAACGTCTCTGCAGGAAGCTCGCGACTTGGGCCCTCGCCATCTTAATTGTCTGGTACAAGTGATGCATGAGCTCCGGGTCTTTGCTTGCCAGCATGGATTCCACAATAGGGATGCCTTGCTCAACCAACGGGAATCCTGGCATCCACAAGTCACCTCAAGTCAGAACAACAGGCTCATACTTCCAAGGGCCCACATCTTCCGCAGACCCGCAGACCCGTCAAGAAAGCCAGCTCCATGACCGTTAAAAAAGAAACTTACACCAGGAGGCGAAGCTTCTCCATCAGCTGACTGAAGCGCTGTTGCTTGCCCTCGAGATTTCCATCACCCACGGCCACCACAGCAGCCGCAAAGCACATGCCCTGCGTGTATCCGAGATCAGGGTCCTGCTCAAACCAATGGCCAATGCCGGCAAAAGCTCACTGCTCTATATGTTGATACCTCTAATACATGATAATACATGACGATATGGAGGGGGTGTTCAGACCTACTTGCTTCGTGTAGGGCCTCGAAGAATTAAATTCGGTCTGCCGACTGAACACCTGCAACAACCCTCAGGTACCAGACGGGTAAGCAACGCTAAAACCCGGGTGCACAAGGTATTGCACCATGCTATAGCAATTAATTACTATAATGAAATATAGCATGTTACGTTGTATCATATTACGGTATATTATATCTTATCTTGTACTATGTTATATTGTATGATAAAGTAAAGTGTTGTAATATTTATAATTCATCGGTCCTCTCGCGCATAGGCCCTCAGGATCTCCGCAATCTCGATGCGGACATCGTGGACTCGGCTGTTTGATGGGAAGACCCGGGACACGTCCCTGGCAATAACCACCTCGGTTGTGCCAAGAAACACAACATACATGTGTAACTATCCCCTTCATGTCGGTTGAGCAGGACGCACGTGCTGTTACAGTACGACGCAGTAAATCTGCTTCTACACCCGCTTCTTCCCAAACAGCAGCAGCACTCCATGGTGGAATTGTGCGAAATCTGTGTCAACGCGACATTCTGTAAGCTTGGCTGCTGCAGCTTCGTTGAATCGGCTGTTGGCCAGCAAGTGGGAGGCTTCCTCCCACACGCACCACCCCCACCAATACATGTGTTGATGACAGCAGCTACTGGCCAGTTCTGCTCTTCACTTTGTGATGCAGAACTGTCTCAGAAGCATCGGTGTACACACTTTTGCAGGAAGAGGCTGACAGGTTCAAGAAGTCCTCAAGCTGATCATCGGCTGGAAGCGGGGAAGACAGGCAGCGCTTCACACGGCCTGACACGCTCCAGCTATACTCCGAGGCAATCTGTGGCACAGACAGGCCGCGGATCCTGAGCTTCAGCTGAGCTGCAGATGGACATTTCTTCAGCTCGGAAGGCTCCTGCAGCTGACTGGTCCGCAAGACGTCTCTCTCTCTCTCTCCCTCTCTCTCTCTGGCACATTTCTGCAGCTTTTATGAGCCCTGGCACCCCGCAGCCTGTGCACGAGTGGCGCTGCAAGTTTGGGCGAGCAGAAAACTTGTCCTTGGCACAGTGCCGGACAAATCCTGCCCACAACCTGAACTCTTAACCCAGTTTCTGCTGAACCGTACCGAGGGTGTGTGACGAGAACCCTAAGGTCCTGAGGTTGAACAAACTTCATCCTGAAAACTACTCGACCCCCTGAACTCTCGCATTGTCTGCTTGTCCAAAGCTCCAAACTCGAGCAAGAGCGGCCGCGGCTGGGCTCCGAGTTCTCTAGCTCCCTCAGAGCAAGAGGTCTAGGGTTTTTTGTGGCCTACCGCCTGAAGGGTCACTGAAGGGTGTAAGAGTCTAGAGTCTAGGGCTGATGTACCTTTAGGGGCACCTTATTTCGGGATCCATAGAACGGACGGACAATGAAGGATCGATGTTAGGGTAAACTACGTAATTGAAACTCCGAAACAGGAAGCGACGTCCTACCAAACGTCGCCTTCCAACTCCGACCCGGTCACACGGGAGCTTCTGACAGCTCCGCTAGCGCAGGAGATGCAATGCCCAGGAATTCACGAAGGATGACATCCTGCAGTTTTGGCCCCGCATCGCAAGCACAGAAAGCCGCCGTAGGCTTTGCAGGGGTTTTGCAAGGATGTTTGTCCCAACCCGCTTCAGTGACTAGGTCGCACTGCTCGGGGTTTAGGGTTTAGGGTGTTTACGCTGTACTCATGATATCTTGAAAGAACAAGAGTAGTAATCAGAACACGAAAAACAAGTTTCAAAATAGCACAACAACAGCAACAACCACAACAACAACAACAACAAGCA